TGAAAATGTATCAATCACTTGATTGAGGAAGATAATCTGGAAATTGAAAAAAATAAAGGTCTTAAAAACTATAAAATAATTCTAAATAAATCTCAATTAAAACATAAAAATCCTAATTAATTCTTAATTAATTCTAAATAAATTATAAAAAATTAAATAAACTATAAAAAACTATTAAAACTAGAAATTATAAATTATAGAAAAATATTTTTTAAAAAAATAAAAAAATAAAAAACTTTAAAAATATTAAATGATCGTAAGTAAATCCTAAATAAATTCCAAAAGAAAATTTAAAAATTCCTAATTAGATCATAAATAAGAATTAATTAAGTCCTAAATAAATCCTAATTAAATTCCTATAATAATCTTAAAATTTTAATAACTACTAATTGAACCATTGACCTTGGCTAATATTTTTTTTCAAAGTTCAATTTTCAAGCAAATATTAAGCATATAAAGTTTGAAAAAAATTAAACTAAATAATTAGATAAAAAAAGTTCTTCATTTCTTTGGATGTCAATTATCTTTCTTCTTAAGTCTTGATGTTGATCTTTTAGCAACAATACCTTCTTATTGACAAGTTACATTGTTTTCCAAGTTAACAAAAAAATTGAAAACTAAGATTTATATACTCTCACAAAATTTTTCTTCAATCAAATTAGTAGATTGTTTAAAATCACAAAACTTTTATAAATTTTAAAAATAAAATACTTGAGACCTTAATCTAATCAAATTCCAATAGTCTTTATTCTAATCATTCAATTAATCTTAAATTCTCAAATCACATTTAAGACCAACATAGTTACAAATTCAAAAAATTTCACTCATCTATCTACTATAATATTTATAATTTTTTTAAAAATTTAAAAATTTCTTTTAATTACTCAAAATCTAAAATTACTAAAAACTTCTTTAACTTTGAAAAGTTCTTGATGTTAAATATCTTATTTTAATTATTCAAAAAAATTAGGTTTTTTATAATAATCTAATTTTATTATTCATTAAGCTTCTTTGTAAAAATAATAATGATAAAAAATATTTTTATAAATATATGCAATTCTAATATTTAATAAAATTAACTTCTTTTAATTTCGAATTGAAGATCTTTGCCACAATTTCATTATTTTAATTATAATTTAATACCAATTTTTATAAAATCAATATATTATTAATAAAAAATTCAAATATATATTTTAAAATTCTATACTAATTCTAAAGTTTATACAATTAAATTTAATTATTTATAATATTAATTTGATATTTAAATCATTATATCTTATTATGATAAATAAAACAATTATAGAATTTAAATTCTATTAAGTACATATTATATTATATTATGTAAATATATTTTTATATGTATTCATTATTAATCTATTAATATTAGATTTATATATCATATATATATATATATATATTTTTTTTTAATTTTTTTAAAAATAAAAATAAATTAAGTGTTTTCAAAAACATGACATAATTTTATAGGTTTTAATAACGTTGGAGCTATCACTTCACTTCTATTTGATTTTTTTGAAAGAAAAAATATATTCTTATTCAAATTTCTTAGTTAAAAAAAATCTTTAAAAGTCTAACTGTCACGGACATACTCATGTAAGCTACTAATTACATATAGAAATAGGTGGAAGTAAGTAAAAGTAGGTAAAAGTTAGTTAATTCTATAGTATTTAATATGGAAGCTTCTTAGAAGCTTTATAGACGCTCCTTTGAATTCATAGGTGTCTTTAATTGACTTTTTGGATTAGAAACGTGGTCAACAAGTTGGCCATGTGCCACACATGTTATTAGCTTGAAGATCAAACTAAGTATGTGGCCCACACGTAGAAAAACTTGCCTTGTAAGTCAAGGCATGTATCCTACAAAGTCAATACATATTGGAGGTCTTATAGAACGTCACCACGTAGCCCCTAATTAGATAGTATATATAGAGACAAGAGTGAAGCCTTCTTCACTCTTGTCAACTCCTTTCTTGCTTCCAGTCTAGTTTGAAGGGTCTCTAGTTTTCTTATCTTTTGGCAATAGCCATTCCAGTTTCTCTTTCAATATACATACTTGTTTATTTATATTTTGTTACCTTTCTTTGAGTGAAGGCTCACTTGTCTGAATTGCTTTTTCATCGAGTTTTTGTCCATGATATTAATTTTATGTTAATTCTTTAATTTTTAAATTATTATATAATTAATATACTTTCTATTTTTTTCTGATTTTAATTAATTATATATAATTTGTCAATAAAAAATCTGTTTATAGATATTTTTTTATTAGTATTAAAATTATATATGATAAAATCTATTTTTTAGTATTATAAAATTATTTGGTGAAAGAAAAAAAATTATATAACTTAAAGAGGTATTTAATTAAAAATATAGTAGAAAATTACTTTAAAAAATTATTATTACCTAAAGAGATAGTAGTTTAAATAATTTAGTAATAATACTATTTTTTAATAAAATAACTTTTATTTATTTTTTTGATAATATAAAAGAAAAAATAAAGTAGATTAGAAAAAATATTATTATATACAACTTGAGGTAAAAGTAAAGAATAGCTTTCAGCAAGTATTATCTAAAAAAACCATAAATTGATAGTTAAAAGAAAACAATTCAAAATTAGGATCAAAATCAGATCCTAAGGCACAAAAATACATATCTGTAGCAAATTTGTATTTCTTATTGTACAATGAAGAGCATAATTAGAAAAAAAATACAATAGGATTCTTTTAGCATAGTTTGAGTAATTTTATTTTATAATAAATTTATAAGAACTTTATAAAGTTAAGTTTTTTTTGGATGACTTTATTTTTTGTTGAATAAAAAAAACTTATGTTTTGTTAAATTAAATGAGTTTTGCAACAAATCTTTAAGTTAAAATTTGTAGATTTGTAAAAATATTTTTTTTGGATGTATATTGTGTAATTGAATTTAATTAGAGGATCAAATCAAATATAATTAAAATTCAAATAGGATCTTAGAAATTAAAAATAGAAGCTTAGATGAAATACTACTTTATATCTTTATTTCTATCTTTATCAATTCTAATTGGCCCTAACAACATGTCTAGCTCTCTCTATTTTTTTTTTTTCTCTTTCTCTCTATTTTTTTTTTTTTCTCTCTCTCTTTTGACATCTTTATTTTTTGGCCATAATTTCTAAAAATAAGTTAACTTAATTCAAATTATTTTAGAATATTTATCAAAATTCTTATCAATACATATAATCCAATAAAACCAATTGTTAATCCAATAAAAATTATCAAATATCTTACCAATATATGAAATCTAGTAAAACCAACTATTGATCGAAGCAAACTTATCAAAGTCTTTATTAATACATGAAATCTATTAAAATCAATTTTTAATCCAAATAAACTTATTAAAGTCTTTATGGACACATGCAATCTAATAAAACAAATTATTGATCCAAACTACATCTTTTCAAAGTACAAATCACCTTAACATTTTTTATCACTACATGCCTCTAAAACCTCTCAACTCAATCCAGTAGCTCTATTATCATGGATCATTAGATTGTAACTGCCACTAAGATTTAATCATAAGTATTGATTTGATATTTGAAAATAGAAGAGAATATAAGAGAACAAACAAAGATGGCAAGTTAGAGGGCAAGTAGGTTGAAAACATACTTAAGCAATGTATTTCAATTAATGAAATAAAAATTGGTCCAAATACATAAAATCAGCTAAGTAACTTTTTCAAATAAATATAATATCAAAATAGATGATTTAATATTATTACTAATTCTTCTCAATGAATTAAAATCCATGATTAAATTAAATAAATAAGATTTAATTAATTCAAATAAATTATGTAAAAATTTATTTATTGAAATAATAATTTTATTGATCTTTTTAGTTAGAAGTGGTTATACACTAGAGAATTGAATTGTTTGTCAAATTACACTAATACAAGAGACTATAGAATGTGTATACTCCTTGCTTAGGTTGCTCAAAGCATAAGTTACGCACGATATTTGGAGGTTTTATTCCCTTACTATTAAACTATATTAAAAAAATGATTAAAAAAATTATTTATTATATACTTAAACCACAATATATATTTATTTTGCAAAAGAATAGAAAATGCATCAAATATAACAAGAAGAAAATAAGAGTTTAATAATTTACTTATGCTCAATTTCTTTGTTAAGTATCAATTTATAAGTTTAATATTTAAATAATATGACATATTGTTGTGAACAGATATAATAATATATAATAATAATATGATATATAATATAATAATAATAATAATAATATATATATATATGACATATTGTTGTAAACAAATATATATATATATATATATATATATATAGAGAGAGAGAGAGAGAGAGAGAAAAAAAAAATGTTGAATAGATTCAAGCTTTTATTAAATTGACTCATCCATCCTAACCATCATGAAAAGAAAAAGAAAAAGAAAAGACATCTAGATTCATTTCTCCACTATCGGATCCAAAACCAATGAAAACCAACCACATTCAATAAGATTATCATATTCTTCATCATTGGTAGGTTAATTTAATAAAAACCTGGGTCTATTTAACATTCCCCTATATATATTATTATATGAAGATTTTTTGTCTTCTTCATTCAAACCAAGGAAAAGTTTGACTACACTATGGAAGGAAGAGAAGAGAAGAGAAAAAAAAAACAAACAAAACAAAACAAAAAAAAAAAAAAAAAAAAAAATTAATGCAAAATTAAAGTATTTTAGTAGAGGGCTTTAAAATGTTTTAGAAAGCTATCCCACTCAATTTGTAGAAACAAATACTATCAAGGGGGCCACAGTTCCCGGCCACTCTTTTAGGGGTTCTAGAGACACGCAGTGACGAGGGGATGAGAAAGATACGGACCGACGAACGCTATCCATCCAGAAGACGAATGAAGAAGTGTCGGCCGAAACCGTCTCGGCGAGGAGTTCGGTTGTTGCACTGTATCTCCCGATGAAAGCATGTCGTTCTGTCGGTGAAATTAAGGGTCCGCGTTCCGGAGAAGCGCATGCCGCTCAATGCGCTTCGGCTGGTGTTTTTTTGCTGTCCCAGGAATTGAAGCGCACAAGCAGCGCTCGGTGATTGTCAGCCTTGCAGGTTGGTGTGCCACACTCATTCGTCGATTTCACTTTACAGGCGCCAGAGTAGAACACGCCTCTGCATGCAAGCCCGGCGCAACCGCAATCGATGCATGGGTAGGGGGATTGTGTGCGTGGACATTCATCGTGAGAGGAAAAAGGAGGCGTTGAATTATCAGCATGTCGAACAAGCCCCCGTCGCCTGCTTTGGCAGGCAGACCTGGTTCTCCACAATGTGAGTTAATTGCGTGTTACATGCACTTGGGTTTAAGCAATTGGTTTACCAATTTGAGTTTTTCTGTTACCTGTGCGACGATTCCCATGTGGAGTTTTACTTTGATTTGTGGTGTTCATACTTGGTCGAAATCGAGTGGTCTGACGAGAAAGAACTAGTTCGAATCAGGTGGGTGTAGCCCTGATCAGTGCATTTCGTATGCACAATGTTGACGACATGGAAGTGAGACTTTTATTTTATTTTATTTTATTATCCTTACTTTTTAGTTTAAAAATGTGTTTGTGATCACATCTCAGTGAAAAAACCAAGCATGGAGAAGATAAAAGCGCGGATGGTGGAGTGCCGTCGCAGTTTCAAGCTCAATTTCAGGTCTATCCTCAGTCTGAACTCATGATTCTGCTGATTTTTGCATGTTAAGTCAATTTTTCTTCAAATTTTTTAAGTGCCTTGAATCTTCGAACCTATCAACCTATTCATGCTTATACATGTTCAAGCACCAGATACTAAGAATCTAGGGCTTCAGCTCTGAATCAAACAATTTGGTTGTGTGTCAACAATTGTGTATAATACCTGTGGTGAGTCTGTAACAAAATGCCGTCGTTTGACTTGATCCAATGTGCACATTGCAGTAACATGAATATGTGGGAAATTCCACTGAAATTCGTTCACATGGCCAAGCACATTGGTATTACACTCATAAACGAAATCAATCTTACCAAGTACGTCCTCAGCCTCATCCATTTGCCTTAAATCTCTTCATTCCCTCTTGATTGTACGCTCATTTATGTATTGGTGGATAAACTATGAAATGGTGATGGTGGACCATTGCTGTTATTGGTTATAATCTAGTTTAAAGCTTAGCTCTGAAGAAGGAATCGATCACCGCTGGTTGTCTATCACTATTATCTATTTTAAATGCCCAGGCCGTCTGAACCTCAGAATTGTAAGATGGATTGCCACTGATCTGATTTACGAGTTCATTTTACATTCTGAATTATTGATAAATTTGCAGAAATCATTTCCAAGTATTACCCTTAGACATGGCAGAGACGAAGCATATGAGAGTTCTGATCTTGAAGAACAATCGCTTCGCGGAGATTCCTCGCATTGCCTTTACATTTAATAAACTACAGGTAATTCTTTTATTGTAACTTTTTAATGACATGTTGTTTACGACTTTTCTAAACTAAAAGAACCATCAGTCCTGACCGTTCATGTTTTGAACGCAGTTTGCGCTCTATTATCAGTGACGTTTACAACCTTAACTTATGAACGTAATTTTTGTAGTCGTTTTTTTGTTCATTGTTTTGAATTTTTTTGCAAATGGTAGGTTCTGGACGCATCAGATAATTTCATCAAAGATATTGACATGACGCTGAGTTCTTTATCAAACATTAAAGAAATCGATTTTACGAACAATCTTCTTGTTGGATCACTACCGTGCTTCTGGTCTAATATGCCATTTCTTATCAGCATCAATGTTTGTAAGTGCTGCCACTAATGATGTCGTAGTGAATGATAGCATAGGTACGTAATTGTTTGCTATGCGTTAGAAGTTTCAGTATCGTAATCAAAGGTATAATTTTAATATTGCAGTTTCACCAATCTTTGTCTTGAGCAGCAAAAAACAAGTTAACTGCGATTCCAGCTTCAATTGAATTGGCAAAATCGCTTATGAAGCTGAATGTTAGTGAGAACGACCTAACGAGTTTGCCAGCATCACTTGGAAAGTTGAGCGAGTTGGTGGAACTGGACGTTCACATGAACCGGATGACAGCTTTGCCGTCAACCTTGGGACACCTCAAGAACATGCAGAGTTTGGAATGCATGGATAATCCATTGACCGAGCCTGGTTTGCAGCTCTACCTACAGGTTGGTTATTGTGATAAAGGTGTAGCGATTGTTCTTATGATCCAGAGTTGACTAGACTGATTACGTACCCATGATATCATTCATTATATGATATATACGTTAAATTATGTTTTGCTGGACTCAGTTTAATGTTGATTCTGCATCCCCCCCTCTCCCCTTTCCTTGCTCTTGAAGCAGGGTTTCTTTTCATACATGGGGTACCTTCGAACGCAATTTCAAGAAGAGCAACTTGAGTCCAAAGCTATAGAGAGACCTGGCGCTCAATCTGTTGGTACTAGGAAGATTGCTTCTATTGTTTTGCTTGTTTAAAATTTGACGCCTCCGGTACGAACATAATACGCGTGATCATCTACATAACTTTTTCATTGATCAGGTTCATACAAGCGATACTACACAAAAAGTGAGCTCAATAACTGGCCAGTAGCAAGGACAGGACATTCTGTCACTCAAGCCCTTAATGTCACTTACATGTTTGGAGGATTCATCAACAAATATGGGAGGGTAATGCATTAATTTGGTGTCATAGCTTGGACACATCTAAGCTGCTTAACCACTTTATAGTAATGCTCGTAATTTGACGTTGAAAAGAGAAGCAGCGTACTTGCTAGCAGATGATATGTGCTTGATTTCTGACTGTATGTATGTGTGGATTGGCAGGTTGATGAGCTGTATGGTATCAATTATTTAACTCTGATATGGGGACGACCTGTGACCAACGGAGACCCACCATCTTGTCGCGATGGGCATGCAGCTGCTTTTGATGGTACACATCGGTAATAGCAAAATGTATAACGAATATCTCAATCATGGCCGTTCTACGTTATGGAATATTTCATCATTGAATTTGATCCTTTGCATTTTTTAGAAGTTTCGGTTATGTAAAGTTCCTGAAACGTCCTATTACTTTTTGATGTTAAAGATGATTCAGTTCGTGCTTTTTTCTCAACATTTTGGATGTGGCCTTTTAAGCACGACCTCGACATCTAAACCTTCCATTCAATGCTATTGGAGAGAAAGTTAAATTCATCAGAATGTGGGATTTTTTCCATGCTCACGACATTGACTTTCGATTTTTTATTTTTTAATCAATCAGACTATTCTTCTTTGGAGGAAGAAGTGAGGAACAGAAACTGTTGAATGATTTTTATTATCTCGACCTTCGGTGTATGTCGTGGGTCAAGGTAATTACTTCTGCCACAACAGCTTAGATGCCAAGAATATTTCTATGAGACCGCAGCATTGGTTTAATTAATTTTACAATATGCAATAATCGCTTGCTCCTTAATTATGATCAATGCTATATAATACTTCTGTTATCGTGGTAGCCGTTACTGGAAGGAGCGTCGCTACATGCGAGAGAAGGTGCGAGTATGGTAGCAGTTGGAGATAAGATTATGATCTTCGGAGGACGTGGTGCCAAGCAAAGATTCAATGATCTCCACATTCTTGATGCTAAGGTCAATTTCTCTTTTATAGCCGTTGACAGAAATTGCAGCATTGCACGAAAGTGTTTTGTTGCTAATTATATGAAAGTGGATTCTCGAACTAACGTCCGCGTTGCTTTCAAGTGAAGGTGACCACCACGATTGTTCATATGAAGCTCGTCTGATATGCGAATGGATAAAACAGTACAGTAGCTAGCGACTCACTCCTTATTAATCTTCATATGATTTCGAGTGAAAGCATTTTGAGGTTATTTATTAATTAGTGGTTGTGCGTGTAAATAGACATGGACGTGGAACCCTCAGACAACAAGAGGATCGAGGCCAAACCCGCGTCAAAACGCAGCAATGGTAGTGAAAGATAACATTTTATACATTCATGGAGGAAGATCCGACTTAATTTTTGATGATATGTATGTCATGAGCACTGTTAACTTCATTTGGATCAAGGTGGTCTTCCTTTCCAATGATTTCTTTTCAAATAATTGACGTGTTGCAAACACTTGCTCTTGAAGACTGGATCGAGTTCTAATACGTCAAGTTTGTTTGAATTCTCATGTTTTCAAATGGTGATCTTTATCAGATTTTAATGATTCATCCGTATGCTCGCAGGTCAATCAAACAGGATTAGAACCAAGATATGGACACACTGCCAAAATAATGAACAATAAGTAAGATCTTCTCGTTGATTACAGTAAATGCATGTATAAGTTCTGGAGTCATTCGAAAAATACATGTGCGGTGTCGAGCTGTATTCGTGAAAATTCGGAAGGACATAATTCTGTGCGTGAGGGAATTTCAACAATTGACTGTTCGACAGGTTCTATATTGTGGGAGGTATGAGTAAAAGTGGTGCAGCAAAGACAAGTATGTTCTTTATGGGATTACCACCTGTAGACAATCTCGAGGAGATAACCAGGTACATAAAACTTCCAATTTTTTGCGTTTCATTCTCTTATTCCACTTCTATGTATGAGATTGTTTGGATTTGGAAGAGCACCTCAATCTTGTATAACCATGTCTGCATGGATTCAGCTGGCACTTCCAGTCACGTATTCTTGTCTAAACTTCCATACTAATTTAGTCACATATGACATATGCAGCCAGCAGGCAATGTTATTACCGCTTGTTGAGAGAATGCAACTTGCATACCATGGTAACATGCGCCATTCATTTGTACACTACGGTCCTTGCATTCTTATCTTACATTGCGTAAGTTAGCATTGACCTGATCTCTTGTCCAAGTTCTCATTCGTGCGGACACTTAAACAGTTTCTCTATTCTTGTAAATGTGTTAGTCTCTTGAGTTAACTATTCAATCAAACGTCGACTTCGTAACGTTGCAATTTTCTCAATAAAAGTCAAGTTAAGATTTTATCTAAATGAGGTGCTGTCACTGATTGTGCAGAGACACATAGCTGGATCGAAATAGACACCGAGCTCTCACCAAAACCCGCATCTAGGTAAATTAGTGGCGTTTGTATCATTTATTGGACTCTGAATGTACAGTACAAACCATTTTAGATCGTTAACATCAGCCCTTGAAGGTGTTCTAAAGTTCAAATAGCACGTACACCAAATGGATTTGAAATTGAAGTGTTAAAATGACAAAGGTGTTTCTTAATTATGCAGTTTTTGTTTTCATAAGGACTTGCTTCTGGTGTTACAAAACCGTGATGATTCAGAGGAACAAGTCACGGTCGAAGGCTTTGCAGATTCAGCTGTTTGGGACGTTTATTTGGAGACTGATGCTGCAACTCTTAAGCCAAAAGTATGACATTGCTCATTTACACCTACAACCATTATGGTCCACTATGTTTTTATAATTCTTATTCACCAAATTGCTGCGTTTGTTTTGAATGTGCAAAAAAAAAAAAGGTACTTCCACCAAAAAAATCCAAACCACCAGACACAAAGTCAAGTCGTGTGGCAGAATTATTGGCAGATGAAACTAAGGTACATGGTAAGCCTTTCGATTTGAAGATTCTGGACATTTTATTTGCCTTTGACTACGATTTCTTGTTCAGTCACGCTTTTTTAAGTCTCTGAGTACCCTTGGAAGAGAATATGACTCAACACACCTCGTCTTCTGCTTGGCTTGTGTAAAGCTTCGTGGACTTCCAAGATCATACCAATTCCTAACCGATGCTGATATACGCCTTCAAGACCATGTGCAAAAGTGGCAGAAACGGGTACGTTTCTCTTCAAAAAGGTACCCATATTTGATGCGGTTTTTCTGTTTGATTGAAATCCACTGAGCCTCGGATCTGAATATCATAAACAATGTGATGACATGGTAAAAGTCTTTGGCAACAATTATGAACAGTTTGAGCAACTTTATAGAGACAGGAGAGCATGGAGGATTGTGATCCAGAATGAAGCAGGAATTCCTAAGTTCCTCAGCAGCGTAATTAGACCATCGCAATTGAAATACCCTGAATTCTTCTACTGGGAGGGCCTTTGCGATTTCCTCCCAGGTTTCCTGAAGTACGAGCCTTTGGAGAATCCACTTGATTTTCCCAAATATTTGCCGTCTCCTTCAACTATTCTCCAAGTAAGTTGCAATCTTCGATGTCTAGGTTAAAACTAACAAACAATTGCAATACTAGTAATGTTTGATTGCAGAACTTTGTGTAGATTTTTGCAGTAATAATTCTTTGTCTTGTTCATTCTGGAATACTCAGTTAAGTTTGTGCTTGTGCTTTTGATATGACAGTGGGCAAAGGCAGATTCATTTGACTTCGCAACAGTGATGGTTTCATTACTTCTGGGCGTTGGGTATAATGCAATGTGTGTGTGTGGTTATGCACCCATAGATATCACCACATGCAATGAGGTTAGAAATTGATCGAATCCACATACTTAATCTTTCTAGATATATTTATTTAGTAATTTATTGTGTTCTTCATAATGTCAGATATGATTGATGTCATTCAAAATGGTAATTAAAAATTAATTAATTAATTTAAATTATCATATAAATTAAGAATTGACATCGTTTTTAAGCTTTTGTGTGTACCTGTTGATTATAGAAAAATACCAAGTTTGATATTAGCAAATTAGCTCCACCCCCAAAGAAAATTGAAGCAATCACAAAACTTGGTCACCATGATAAACATGTAAAATCATTTTACTTGTGCAAATACGTGCTGGATGTGGTGTTTCTTCAGCAAAAAATATGCTGTACATGAAATTTGATATAATATTTTTTTTTCTATTTTTTAAACTCAAGAGTATAAATATGAAAACTTCTCAACATTTTTTGTTCTGTATACAGGTCTCTTTGGCTGATGTACCCAAAAAGTACGACATTATCGTACAACCCATTTTCAATGCAATGTACTTGGAAAAGAAAAGAATGGAGCAAAATTTACTGAGACAAAAATTTGTAGCTGATTTTAATGACACTAATTTGGAGGTGATTCTTAAAACATCATAGATTAGTTTTTTTTCACTGTTCTTAATGTTAGAATATTGCAATTATTATTCTTCTTCTTCTTATTATTATTTTATTATATGGTTCAGAAAGTTGAATTTCAAGAATTTACTATTGATATTGTAATGAATATAGCCATTGATTGATGGACAAACGGATAATGGGGATTTGCTAATAAGCTTCTTAGAAAAGAATGCATACTTGCCAATCAAAGAAAATGAGATCAACGAGACGAATCCAGTGGTCCATGCTCCACTTTTGGATCCTTTGGATACCCAACGATTGCATTGTTGGATCATAATATTTAAGGGTGACCGAGAAATGGCAGATACCTTTTATTTGGAGCCCACAACTGGTATTGTGATGAAGATAATTTGTGTTTTTGTTTTCAATATATATATATATATATATATATATTTATATGCGTATGTGTATGTGTGCATCTTTATACATATATATATACAAAATAAATAAAAGAAGTATGTCAAAGTGTGTTTATTCTTATTTTTAATTGAATAAGTCATATTTATGAAGATTTGTACTGAACTGTTATTAGGTAGAAAATATGCTTTAGACAAGTCACCATATCAAGGTGTTGAATTTGCATGGAATCATACCAACTTGTGGGCAAATATGCAAATTAGTTCAACAAGGTGGCTTTCAAGTCTTTGTAATAAATTTCTATTATTTGATTCAAAACTATCTAAAACATAAATAAATTTTAAAAACCATCATGGATAAGTAATTTAGATTTTATGCAACACATGGTTTGTTGGTTTTAGAAAAGGCATTGGAGATATATCATGGGATTTGAAGAATATAAACTTATGGGAGCCGGTATTAGATGAGGCAACACAGTATGTTGAAGATCCTGCAATAGATCCTACTATTGCTTTTGGAAAAAAATCAGAGGAAGAGCATGAAATAGAACAAAGTACCCCTTCCAAAAAAACTAAGGATTTCATAATCAAAAAGAATATATATGGTGACATTGCTAGTTATCATTGGTTTCATGGTGTTTCATGGATTCCTAAACTTGAAATTCCGGTAGACAATTATGTAAAGAGGTTGGATACTTTTACTCATTTATGTGTACTTCTTTTTTTGGAATTGATTTACTAAAAATCTAATAATCTAAAAGTGTTATATAACTTGGTGATTAAGTTTAAGATTAATCTCTATTTCATTTTTATGTTTTTTTATGTTTTCTTTTTTTCTTTAATTATGAATGTATTACATTTTTATTTTTGTTTTTACAATAGGATACTAATAAGAAAACCATATATTTTTAACATAAATATTTATACATGTACATAGAGTGAATTTTTTTTTATTATAAATCATCTTTAAACAATCCAAAACCTTAAATCAAAAGGTGTCCAAAAGGTTGCAAAAAGACATTATATGACCATTGCGCACACATCATGTTTGCTTTTTATGGAAATTACATGCGTTGGGATGGACTCATAGAACGCTTAGTCTACTATGAAGACCACAACTACAAAGACTTAATTGAATGTCATGATTTCTATGAACGTCGAAAAGATATGCTCAAAAAGAGAGTATACTTCATCAAACAAATGAAAGTAATATATTTCGATTCAACAACATATCTCTTTTTTAAAATTTTTCTATTTTTTTATTTTAATTTTAATTTTCAATCACCAATTCCTTTATGAAAGTAATTTGCTTTCAACATGGTTTTATATTCCTTCATACACACATGCATATATATATATATACAAATTGAACTTTAAAATTTTATATATACACATTCTCAAATCCAATTTTGATAGCACCTTTCTTCATGTTAAGGTTATGGAGGTCTTTGGACCCGGAACAACATCCGGCATAAAAATAATAAATATCATTGAAGGGACATCTCGTAGCTTTGAATATTATCCACAAGCTCGCATTGACGGGCTTCAAACACGAGAAGAGGTGAACATTATCCATTCTCAAACCTCTAAATTCTTTGGTATTTTTCTTTTCTAAATCAAATAAGCAAAATAAAAAAAATGGTAATTAAGATGAGTGTAGGTGGTAGGAAGGATGGTGAAGGAGACATTTGAGCACAAGGAAAGTGGCATGGTGTATCGAAGTGTGGTGTACGCTCTACCATCACTACCCATTGCAAATGAAAGCTTGCCGGATTCTACCACACAAAGCTTTGATCCATCACTTGTAGATAGAACAACCAAGGGAAGTGACTCGGTGGAGAGAGGTAGCATGACCCAGGGGAGTGTGTGTCGTGGAAGTGTGGTTAGCAAGCGGTCAAGTATGCAAGACCGCAAGTCCACTCAAGCCACTCCTACCAAGCGAAGGACAAGCAAATCAAAAATTTGGTACTTATATATTTCATAATACGTATCCTTCCATCCACCTAGTCATACTACATACATATATATATATATAAAGAAAATGCAACCAATGTTGGTCTAAAGGTTTTTTAAAGGTTGATAGAAAAATTGGTGAAAAATCACTTACATTTGATATATAAGGGTGGAGGATGGCTTATCCAAATTGTTGTATGAATAAAATCCAAAATACAAAATACATACATGAATGTCAATTCATGTGGTATTTTGGATCAACATTTGAATTATAAAGCATTCTTTTTCTTTTGTGGATGGAAAGTGTGAAACGAGGCAAAGCACAGCCTTCAATTGCAGAAAGGCTTCAAAGACTTCAAGAGAAAAAAAACAACCAAGCTTCCAGTGTTTGTTGCGGAATTGTATCAGATCAATTGCTACCAATCGTGAAAATAACTCAAAAGTAATAAATAACTTCAAAACAGACATGTAAACATGTTTGTTTTCAAGATTTTGTGCATGTTGTTGCCAAAATTTTTGAAGATCATAATAGGAGTGCATATATTTTCTAAAATAAGTAAAAAATAAATTAATCATGTAAATATTTGTAGACATTAACCACATTCCATTTCATTTCTCAGATATGGATTTAGAAATGATGTAAATCCTTCTGACAATATTGCAAAGAAAGTCTTCAGGATCTCTCTACAGCAGATTAGAGTAGATTACCATTTTGTGCATGGCCGTATCACCAATAACACCAAAGTTTATGAAAAAGATGGTTCATATTCATCAATGCATGTATGCAATATGTTCATTTTTCAATGCACGTACAATAATATTTGATTATTACAAACGAAATTATTGCTTCATTCATATTCCAAAATAAAAATCACTCTAAAATATGTTAATAATTTCTAAAACATAAACATATATATATATATATATATATATATATACATACATGATTTACTCTTAAAAAATATTTGTAGGTTGATCCATTTTTAGAAAAGATGGGAGGTTTTGCACAAATTGATGAGTACCATCACCTTCAAATAGCTGAAAAGGAAAGCATCCAAGGAGTACGAGAAGCGGAGCAAGATGTGATAGAATTATTGGAACAACGAGCTCGAGAAGAACAATGCATTGTACTAATGACACCTTTCTCGGACATTGCCCAAATGAAGAAAGACGATCTAGTTGAAGAAGTATCCAAAGTACTTTTTAGCATAAATCCCACTCATTAAAAATTATAATTTCCTATCATGTGGAATTGCAATTCATTCCTTCCCAATTAGCTTATTATCTATTGTCATTTGATATTCTAATGATTAATTTTAAATGTTGTTGTTGTTTTTAATGATAGGTTGAAACAGATTATTTATCACCACATTTCCCTGTTGGTATTAAACCAAGGCAGCATCTATCTCGTCCACAAATGTTGATTGTTAGAGAAAATTGCATACGTGCATTGAGGGATAAACATGTAGCACGTGCAGCTATTATCCAAGTAAGCACAAATATATATATATATATATATATATAAATAAGGGTGTGTGTGTGTGTCAGCTATTATCCAAGTAAGCACAAATATATATATATATATATATATATAAAAATAAGGGTGTGTGTGTGTGTGATTCTTTTGGTGTATTTTTTTTATTTATCACAAAACCAAAATCTGCAATTGATTGAACCAATTCAAAAAGTGGGTTTCTTTGGATGTTAAAATAATTATATAATAAAATTATTTAATAAGTGTCTTAGTACCAAGAATTAACAAGTGAATTGAGCATGTAAGCTTTTTGAAAAGAAACATCCTGATTATATACATTATTATGGTTTTATCTTTCAAAACTTCGAAAGAACCACTCCGATTACTTATGAAATATGCTTTATATATATATCCACTGTAAACCGATGGCTTGTTTCAATTTTTATTTTAAAAACCATCAAAAGAATTGCAGGCACGCTATGAAGAAGAAACATCAGCACTTGCAAAGGCACGAGCAAATTATGAACGAGATAGAGAAGGTATGACAGTTGCCGAAGAAGAAGAATATGAGAAGTCTTGTGAACAAGCCATATTTCGTATCCGCATCTTAGAAGAACGCCATGCTTATCATGAAGAACAATCACTGAAAAGGTAAAGATTATTGCTTTAAAAAAAACATTTCCTATCAATCATGCTTACTTGCATTAAAATATATGTGCAGAAATTCATCAAAATATTTGAAAATAAATAAATAAAAAAATAGAATATCCAAATTTAAATTATGGAGAAAGTGTGAAAGAAGAAAGTGTAACTCATTTGAATTTGTTCTTAAAATTTCCAGGTATGCCGAGATGAATGAGAAGTTGAAGAATGATGAACGTCTCGCTGACCTTTACACATCAGAAGATTAATTGTTATCACAAAAAAATTGGAGGAAAGAATCTGACTGAAAGGATTACTAAATGGCCTTTTTTTTTACTTGCATATTGCATGAATAAAGTGCCCAATTTTGATAGATTGCCATAACTGAGCTTCTGAGAAAGACTTTTCGAAATTTTCAAGACTTCAGTTGTACCCGAAGTAAACATGTGAACGTTTTTGTACTAACCGTGTTGAGCATAATTTTTTTGTTATGTTGATTGTGTGCATGGGCACATGGTGACAATTCTGTGGTCCTTTGAAATTTCTCAAGAGTATTTCACACTGTCCTCTCATTCAATAAAGATAATTTAATAATACAAAGTTATTACAAATAATATGTTTACTCGTTTCATCACATGAGTAATCGTAATCAACATACAAAGATAATGTGCATGTGCTGGCATGAGAAAGTTGCCACCAGCAATAGCAACGAAGTATAATAATTCCCACAAGAAGATAAACTAACACTTTGAGCTGCTCACACAAGCTCAGCGAAGGTTCCCATAACCTAAAACATAGTAGGCACCGTAAAGATATCTCCCATGTGATAACTAGAGAGCCTGCACTCCTTGGTAATTGATGCCAAACACGAAAAAACAAAAAAATATAGGTAAGAACTCGCGAAATCAGAACTGCACTCAAACTCGTACAAAATTGACGTGGATGCTACCTACGAAGGCGCACCCAAGTAGAAAGCGACCCTTAGAAGATCGCTGAATACACCAGCGGCCGTAACTTCTGGACCAGCACCTGGACCCCTCACAATAAGAGGTTGTCTCAAGTATCTTGACGTCGTGAAGGAGACCAGGTTGTCAGAACCAGAGAGTTGAGCCAAAGCATTCGATTTTGGGAAGCTTTGCAGCTCTACTCTTCCTTCATTGGTCTTCACGTCGACTACACCAACATACCGCAAAACCTGCAAGGAGGCCGAAGGTATCAAGCACCAAAATGAAAAATCTAGATCTTCTACACAATCACAACACATAACTGCATCCTGTTTAAACAAGCATAAAAATAAATAAATAAATAAATAAAACGTAGAAGCTCGACCCACCTCTCCAGATACTTCAGCACCTTTTCTTCGCAACTCCATCTCCTCGTCAAAGTTTGGAAGCTCATTCAAGAATTCGTCACTAGACGTTAACCCCTGGCAGACACACACAAAAGACATGTATTGTCACATGTGCATGACAAAGGGCAAGCTTAATTTGAAAGAATTTGTAAAGAGTACAATTACCTGAAGTGGTTCTGGGACCAGGCTTTGAACCTTGACATCATCAAGCTCCAACTGCAGCCCGCACTCTCGAGCAAGAATGACAACCTGAATCGTTCAAACATGATTAGGTCACTTCAATAGGAAGCAAAGAATTATATCGTTTTCAATGAGCAATACTGAATGGCATTGCAGCTGATGTACTCGCCTGAACATTCTAAATGCATGATCTGCAAAGTAAATACACTCGAGCAATAGTAACATTATAAACGTACCTTTCGAGCAACGTCCATGCCAGAGAGGTCATCTCTAGGATCAGGCTCAGTGTATCCAGATGCCTTAGCTTCAGATACAATCTGACTGAAAGACTTTTCACCGTTGAAGTTGTTGAAGATATAGCTCAGTGTGCCGCTGCATTAACAGAATCCACAATAAGTCCCCAAGCAGTCCACGGAAAAAAGTAAAGAGAGAAGAAAAACGAATAACCCAGGACTTAACACATTACATCTTCGATGTTTTGATTACGAGAGAGCTGCAACCTGAAACCTGAAACTTTTTCATTTCTAGTTGTGAATTCAGGATGACAAATGTTCTAGCGCGCCTGATCACTAACCTGAAAACACCTTCCACCTTCACAATTTTGTCCCCAGTTTCAACGAGACTACGCAGGGTGCTGATAATGGGCAGCCCCGCCCCTACAGTGGCCTCGTAGAAATAATGTATGCGTGATTTTCGCTGCAGCTCTCTTATTCGCTTATACTGCGACAACACATACCATGCATAATGTCTATTGTCAACTCGCTGGGATTGCAGCATAATACAGCCAATAAGCAACCGCTCATAATTTATGAGTGAGGAACTAACTTATCCAAACAATAAACTAGGTCTTTACATACTAGCGAAAACAGTGAACTTGCTGAATACAGACGAGGATGCACCTGATCAAAAGCACCTGAATTAGCTTTTTTGTTAGGAGTCACGACATGGATACCCTTGTTGATCCACTCATAGTACATCTGAGAAACTTGAGCACTTGCGGTGCAATCTATAATTACAGGATTAGGGAAATCCTGGCTCTCAAAATGTGCTGTGAACTTTGACATGTCTGATGCTACCGCATGCGTGTGAAGCAACTCTTCCCATTTTGACAATTCTAGACCTCTGCAAAGACTTGGTATCTCAGCAAAACACTTGGATAAAGTGCTGACAAAATCTACTATGGAAGCTCAGAGTACTGAAACAAGCAGATTGAATGTATGCCAAGTTCTCACGTTTGAGCCTCGACTCAACAAGTATGTCATTGCATTACATTTCTTCAGTTTCATATGGGTTATTTCTCTATATTCAAACTTGAGGGATAGTGGAACAGTGTAGGCATCAATTCAAAACCAATACATCGTGACAAATACTACAGCATACTCACGTGTGATCAAGATACATCTTCTTCGAGTTCATAATTCCCATGACGCGCAGGTCGATTTCGAACTCCTTCTTCAGCGTTGCCACCTAAGAATAACCGACGGACTAGGTCACTCACAGTAAACCAACGGAGGACAACGTGTTCAGGGTACATTGACTCATCTGTGACGTCCATTTCCGGAGCTGTAGACGATGAGGGACGAAATGACGGATTTAAAGCAACGTACTAATGGACGAAGGGGTAGTGATACCTGATTAACGAATTGGTCTAGAAGAGTCTTCCCAATCAGGCCGGGACCAACAATGCCAATCGCCAATGGTGTATTCGAAACATTACCCTAATTCCACACAATCAAATAGTTAGTCAAAGTCTGGTAGTCATTCGGATCAACAACACTAGCATCCGATCAATATTTTACAGGCTCAGTAGAGCATCAGATTTATAAACGCCCCTGCAACGAGTTTAGAAGAAACCCACAATTGCATTGCATCTAAATTTCTTACCGCTGTGATACACGCCAGAAGCAACAGATTCAACATCCCAGAAACTAACCGATTAGGCCACCTAAACTAAATTTTCACGCGGACATTTCCATCTCAAAGTTTATTTCAGACTCACCTCAAAAGATCCCGCCATAGGAACAAGCTCCGTTAAATCAATGCCACCCACAGATTCAAGACAAATGCAAGTACGCCGCAATCAATGCACAAAACTTCACCTGCCAGCACGTCACCACATTATTCCAGCTGCCTTCTGCGGAATGGACCAATGTACACTGTGAAGCCTCTAGCTTAGCAAAGAAGAGACAATTACGCCAACACAAACACCAGTACAAACCCTTCGACACACCCGACAATGAAGAACATGCACATTAGAACCACAACGTATTGAGACAACAGATTTCCCCTCGAAACAAGACAAATGCTCCTTCATCGAAAAACACACAGAACATTCTCACTCGATCACCAAAAGTAAGGCATGAGTTACAATAAATGAATTCATCATCTGATTTACAACCTCATGAAACAACTCCCTGTATTCGACCTTTCGGAAGTCACCGTAAGCTCGATCCCGCTGGACAGACACGAAACCCTAACACTTCCTACCTCAAAAACCATTTCCTCCCAGAGCGAACCCACTTACCGCGGAGCAACAGACTTTGAACACTCCAACAATGCTACTACGGCTACGAATTCAGAGCCAACCTCGAGTTGAAGAATCGAATTGAGCTTTCAAAACTCCGAAAGATTCCTGCCGTCGAACTGGACGTTACCACAGAACCACTTGGCTGCTCACGGTGACAATGTCCAATCCCCGATAATAAGAAAATTCATAGATTTCATTAGTCTAGGAGTTGGCTTGAAAAGTTGCAAGCATGGAGTTGCCAGATGAATGAACAACACGAATGATTGATTCCTGTGAGGAATCTGTCCGAGAGTCACACCTTCGAGTTTCTACATGTGAATTGTGACATGTTGCGTTTTCATTCCTTCACATGGGTATTTCACAAAAGCAACAAAAACCTTTTTTCTTATATTCACGTATTTTTTCTTATTATGAATACTGCACCATTCAAACGGATTCGAATCTGTGTATATTCATTATTGGTCTCGTTTCCTCGATCAAAAGTGTGATTAAGGAGACATGATGGTGGAATACAAAGCCGTGACCAGTAGGAATGTTCCTATCAATTAAGGCACCAAAATCGTTCGGCATACTTAAAAAACTTACATACATTCAATAAAGATTGGACTACAAGCGACGAGTTATTTCTCTACTAGCAGAAGTCCATGAAAGGTGTCTATCACTGTGTTTGCTCATAGTTGATAGTGTGGGCATCGAAGGATGTTATGCGCAGCCCATACCCAAACCGGCCATGAAGATGCGATGCTAATTGATTATACGGTATTTTAAACTTGAAGCCAGCATCGCAGAAGACGGGAGTAGCGGCACCCAGCTCGAGAGACTGAGAGGCGTAGTGTGGAAAACTAGGTGCATGATTGGGAAGACTTCACCGTCATCCATCACAAGACTAACACGAGTGAAGCCCCCAGTGAAAGCAATCAGCCGTTGTGACTTGAGGACCCTGATTTGCTTTTGACACCGCCTCTTTCAACGCTGTAGCTGTGTGATGCTCGATGCCTCCAGTTTCTACGACCACGTTTCGCAGCGAATGCAGAGCACGGCTGGATGTACCTCTCATGGGAGAACCACTGAGGTGTAAGTGAAGGGGGCGGCGTGGTGAGGAAGCCATGGGGTGGCGATGGCGGACGATGGGAGTAGGATTGTGGACGATGGAGGTGATGATGACGGCGATGGTGGTGAGTTGGGGATTGGGAGTGGAGGGGTTTGATCCCCTGGAGAGCAAGAGGGTGATAGGATTGCGAGAGGTGCGGTTGGGGACAGGCTCCGTGCTGCAGGCGCTGCTAGATTCACAGTACTCAGAGATGGTGCTGTACTTGGACAAGGCAGATATGTTGGAGGAGCTGGAGCGGGAGGTTCTGCGGCGAGGCGCAATCACGGTGTTTGCGCCGAAGAACAGCTACTTGGAACAGCAGGTGGACGCGGACTTGTGGAGGTTTTTGATGCGGCCTGGGCACGAAGCGTATCTGCGGACGTTGTTGAAGCACCATGTGATTCCTGGGCGAGTTGAAGGCGCAGATTTTCAGAACAGGACGGTGGAGACGCTGGCGAGCGGGAATGTCGTGGGGTTGAGGAGTCATGGCCTGAAACGGTACGTGGAATCTGCGCGTGTGTTCTCGCCGAACTCGATTGTGCGCAAAGACGGCATTGTGCACGGGCTGGATGGGTTCATGATCCCCCCCTGGAGTTGCATTGGCGTTCCAAGAGTTGAAGCGTGATGGACAGTCAGACGAGAAGCCTCGTGGCTCCCCTGTTTCAAGGAAGGTCTCCAGGAAATCTCGCTCAGGAACCAAGAGCGCTTCCACGACGCGCTACATGTTGGAGAAAAATGCACCCGTTGTGCCAGACGCTCTGCTTCGCGCTGTGATGCCCCCCACGACCAGCGTTACTGCCCCCTCCTTGGGTCCATCCCTAGGCCCGTCCATTGCGCCCGCTCCCGGTCCCGGCATTGCGGGGTTTACCTGGGATGACGACGAGGAGACGCTGCAGTTTGTGATGGCGCTTACAAACTACGGAGGATACAACGACATGGCGGAGCTACTGGTGAACGCCACCACACTTGGGATCGAGATAGGCAAGCTAGCGCGCATGGGATACAAGATCACTATCCTCGCTCCCAACGACCAGGCGATGCAGCAGCTCACAATCGAGCAGCTGGACATGCCCATGGAGCCGCTGCTGTACTACCACTTCCTGTCGGAATACCAAACCGACGAGAGCATGTACAACGCCGTGAAGCGCTTGGGCAAGCAGTCCTACAGCACTCTTCGGCACCCGCACAAGGTGATCGCGTCGGAGTCCGATGGAACGGTGAAATTCGGTGACGGAGACGGCGCGGCGCATATATGCGATCACGATATCTACGTCGAAGGTCACATCTCGGTTCAAGGAATTAATAGGGTGCTCAGTCCTCCACCTTAAGGGAGGCAATACCGAATCTTCGTGACTGCAGAGCAACGGCGTTTTTTTTCTTTTTTTAGGTATGTTCTTCGATCACGCCATTTCAAATCAGAACGCTCGTAAGAGCTGTGAAACTGCACAATAAGGATCGTGGCATTGTGTGGATTCAACATCATATTTAAAACTATTGCACAAGGTCAGTTTTAAGAGTCAAAATCATCGATACCCGATGTGAACCTCGTGACTGATGAAAATTATCATACACACTTGAGCATTGTGCAACACAGTTGAGGTTGTCAGTTCCATAGAGTCCGTCGATTAAGTGATGTGACGGAACTTGTGACACAGAAACAAGGGCGGCCACTTTAGCCCTATCCACGGAACCTTAAGAATGTTACTCTTGTCATGCTTAGACCGTTCATCAGATTGTTTACCTCCAGTGGGAATGAGGAGTAGGAAAGGAACTGTGTGTTAACTCGACGTACCCAAACGCTTACGCTAATTGTGTGAGCTTGGAGTTGAGTGGCTGGGTGGAGCTACGAGCGTGGTGGGGACTGATCACAATTGTTCTGTCTCTCGTAGATCACAGTCTGGATCACGGTGCCTTTTTCTGGGTAGGTTGAGTCACAAGAGTACCTGACAGTGGTCGTTGTGTTGATTTGTGCGGGTCGCAGAGCATCCTCCAGAAAATCTTCTCGAGACAGATAATTACGTCCCTGCATACGATCAATCATCCACTCTACATTCGAGGCGCAACTTCAAAATCTAGCAGCGTGCCACAGCCGTGTACAACGTCCATCCGCGTGATCCAGACGACCAAACATGCTGGAGCACCAGTCAATCAAGACACCAATCCAGCCCTACGCGAGATTTATATCACTTGCTATTCGGAATATCACCCACCCACCCACCCACTCACTTCTGCAATAAAGACGAAACCATCGCTAGCTCCAGCACCCCCGCACAGACACATACCGGCAGCAGCGCATAAAAACCAGGTCCTCCACCGACAAAGAAAACCACGGGTAGAGGCTCAGCGAGTGTTTCATATCCCAGGGTCTGCTGCGGAAGAATAAAGCTCCTTTGGTACAGTGTGTGTGTGTGTGATGTTGCGAATTGCTTTATTGTTCACCTTATCTCGGTTACAGTGCTTCCCATCTGTAGCGGTGGAAGCTTGCTAAGGTACAGGAATTCCCCTGTTGTTTTTATTTTTGTGTTTTTTGTTTCTTTCTCTTTTTTCTGTGAGATCCCAGCATGAGCCCCCATGTCAAGTCTGCCTTGTAGAAGCTTTGAATGTGATGGTGTTTAAATAGTAACTGGTGCAAGTTTTGAAGCATTCTCTGCCTATCTATCAATCTATCTATGTAGATATGTAAATGTCTGAGTTTTGTTGTGCATGGCGCTGAAGCACGACTGGGAGTTTCTCATTTTTGCTTTGCACTGGGAGTTTGTGTATTTCTTTTGCCATCCTTGTTATGGGTTCTTCTTCTTCTTCTTCTGCATCTCCTTTTTCTTCTTCCTCTCTTGCTTTTTTCAATGCTTTTATAAAATAAGTATTCACATAGATTATACTGTGAAACATACCTATGTGTTCTTGTTTTTTTACTCTTGATGTTCCATGTGTAGCCTTGTTCCTGGTCACCCACACACCAACTTAGAAGGGCCTGAAATATTCATCGCTGTTAAAATAATAATAATAATAATAATAATATTGGTATAAATCATCGTGTCGGTAAGTTTCATTGTTGCAAACCTTGAAGAAGAGCTTGGAGAATACATGGATGGATACATGAATGCAGTAAATAAGTGGCAGCATAAATGCTGTAATTGTGAATGGGCATGTGCCCATGAGCTTTGATTCAAGTTTGCATGTTGGAATAAATGCAATAATTATACCATGATTGTTTGAGTTTCTTAGATTATGATGTACAATCAATTTTGCCTTTGGTGTTGTTTGCACCAAAAAAATGTTAAGAAGATGGTTAAATAATAATAATCAAGAATGATTTGTATTTGGACTTGTTAAATGTCCAATTCATCTAGATATTTTTTAGACATAGAAGATGCACATGTTTGGTAATACAACTGTGCACACAATAATCACACAGTGAATTTATTTGTGAAATTGAAATAGAAAAAGAAGAATAAAAATAGCATTGAACTTTTTACAATTGAACAAATTAATGCACCTTTTTAACTAACACTTAAAGGCTAACAATTTTTCCCTACTTGCTGAAATCATTTATACACACATAAGTATACATACATACATACATACATACATGTACAGAACAACGATGCTACATCAGTGACAAATTTAAAAATTTTAAATCATGACAATAGCAATGGAGCATAGAAATAAAGGCTACGAGAAAGGCAAAGGAATCAATCCTCAACTGAGATCCAATGTTCTGGTAGTGAACACTCCCAGAAACCCAGTTTCACGGGCTCACGACACAGGGAACCTTAGGGGAACTCAGAAGCTCAGGGAAATCGAAGGGAGCAATAGGGAACATAAGAACGTGGGAACAAGTTAGGGAACGTGGGAACAGAAGGGCTAGAGGGGAACAGAAGGGCGAGAGGGGAACACGCGAGAGGGGTCGGCGACTCGGGGGTTTATCCGAACGCCATAAACCCTCCCCTTCTGAGACGAAGAATCCATCCTCCTCTACGAGGATACGAGGCTGTGGCATTTGCTCCTGCAACCGGGATTTGGAATTTTGGGTTTTGGGTTTCGGGGTCTTCTTCATTGCGGGCTCCTCCTCCTGCTCTTCCACTTCCCCGGCTGCTGCTGCTGCTGCTCTTTTGGAATTGCTGTGTATCGCAATGGCGATGGCGATGTCCATGTCGCTCTCTCTCCCTTCCTCCTCTTCTCCTTCTTCTTCCTCCTCCTCCGCCGCCTCTACTCCCACTCGCTCTGTGTTGGGGTCCCCGCATTTGGTTTCTCTTAAGGGCAGAGCCGACTCTTTGGCAGCTTCCACTTCTGGGTCCTTCACTCGCTTGCCCCGCCCCTCGCCTTGCAAGTAAGCAGATCCTCACTTCTCTCTCTCTCTCTCTCTCTCTCTCTCTGCCACTGCGGGTTGGTGATGTAGCGTTGCGTTAGTTTCCTATCGGATTCTGATTTCTGGGTTATTTACAAGTTTTTTAAATTTTTAAATTTAAATTATTTTTTGTGTATTTATTTACTTTTACGTGTTCTAGAGGGAATGTGAGTGGCAGAGAATGTGAGAAATTCATGTTATTTTGTTGATGAGATGCGTTGAAGAGAGTTCTGCGCGCATTTGGCAAGGAATTCGAATTTTGGGTTGGATGGAATCTCTGTTGACCTTCTAGGTGTTTGAATGAGATGGTTGTCGTTGTGTGTGTTAGTGGGTAGTTTTTGAGTGCAGAAATTGTTTTTTGATGCCTAGTGGCCTTCGTAACTGTTTTTGGTTGTATTGGAGGCTTGGTGGCTTGCATTGCCGCAATTTCGAATAATGTGCTGTGATACAGATCGCAATGCCAGAGCATTGGGAGGGAAAGAAGCAAAAGAACCGTTGTCGCAGCATCCGCAGGTTTGCCTCAGCCAACTTTTTTCTCTTTCTTCTATCTCTCTCGCTCTCTCTCTCCTCCCCTCCTTATGATTGCGTAACGAACTGTAAAACATGGTTCATCTGCCCCTAAAGAGTAGTATTATGAAATAGACGGGGCCATGTTTAGGACGCGGTTGTCGTCTCGTGAATTGCTAACTGAGAGGCCTTGCGCAATGTCATACGGTGTTGATTTGCCGTCAACAGAGAAAAGCACGGAACAGGTTTTACCTCGTGGGGCGTCATGGACTGTTCATAAATTCGGTGGCACTTGTGTCGGCAATGCCGAGCGCATTCAAAACGTGGCAAAGATCATTGTTGAGGATTCTTCAGTACGCAAGGTTGCAGTTGTGTCAGCCATGTCCAAGGTTACCGACATGATGTATGATCTGCTTCAGAAAGCCCAGGCTCGTGATGATTCTTACAGTGCCACTCTAGATACACTTTATAAGAACCATAAGGAAACCGCCATTACTCTTCTTGAGGATGGGCAGGATCTCAATAAGTTTCTTGGTGTCTTGGAAGCAGACATTAATAACCTGCGGGCTATGCTTCGGGCTATTTTTATTGGTATATTCAACGCTCTGTACTTTCAGTTAAAAACGCTGCGGGATTTTTAATGTTTGTTAGTTACTCATCGCTCCTATCATGTGATGTCCTCCTGCACTGGTTGATGGTGATGCCATTGCCGTGTCGTTCAATTATATCCAGTATAATTGTTTTCCCCCCGGAACATGTAGTATGGTGTAGGAAAAGCATCGCAGAAGTAGTTGTGCAAGATATTTGTTTAAGGTTTGGCCTCGCTGACGCTACATGAATTGGGGTACAGCTGGTCACGCTACAGAACCTTTCGAGGATTGGGTGGTCGGCCACGGAGAGTTGTGGTCTGCACAGTTGCTTGCTGCAACAGTTCGAAAGGTATGAAGAACTTGGAAGGAATTAATAGATGGTTTTCTTCTCACATGTGTGCTATTATCGCGGAAGGCGAAGAGTTTCGATCTTCATTTTATCAACATTCTATTAAGCGTAGCAGCTGAGCCTGTGATGGCTGTGGTGGCCATGGAGACTATAGAATCATTATGAGAGTTTAGACGGCATTAGTGGTGAATGTTCACGTTTTTAAGGAGATGCGTATCAAAATTTCAATCTCCTGTGTCATGTGTGCATTGCAGATGGGCCTGCCGTGTGTCTGGATGGATGCTAGAGATGTGATAGTGGTCACGCCTACGGGAAAGCAGCAAGTGGACCCTGACTTCGAAGCCTCGGAAGAGAAACTTGACAAGTGGTACTCACGATTTCCATCTGATACAGTCATCGTTACTGGATTTATCGCTAGCACTCCGGACAACATTCCTACAACGTTGAAACGAGATGGCAGTGACTTATCAGCAGCGATAATGGGGGCACTCTTGAAGGCCTCTAAAGTCACTATCTGGACTGATGTGGATGGCGTCTATAGTGCTGACCCAAGGAAAGGTAATGTGCTCGCTGTTTGTATGTCATGTTAATTTCATTACGTTTCCAGAGCAATGATTCCTTATTCAAGTCATGCATGTGCTGGACTCATTCCTGGTTTTGAAATCAAAATGTTACTCTGCTATTGCCATCAAGTTTCATCTTAACATTTTGATTCATCGGTTCTGTTTCTCTAGTGCGAGTTCCCATGATATTTTTTGTAGGATAATTTGGAAATTCTCTGGTTACTGAACACGCTTAATACTTTTTTCTTCCTGTGCATGTAGTTAGCGAAGCAGTGATCCTTAAATCCTTGTCTTATCAAGAGGCCTGGGAGATGGTAAGTGTCTTGGTTTAGCAATCTGTGATTGTCGTCTAGCGACTCTGTGGAAGCTCGCTTCCCGCAATCCACTTCATAATTTCCTCGGGCACCTTTTGGCGTGTGTGATATTATGGCGATTAGAGGCTGTTTCCATTTCAAGTTAGTAGAAAAAATCACATCTATGTATTGTCTTGGTTGTGGTCGTTGTTACCAAGTGGTTACTGGTACAGCTTCGTCAGTTCTGATTTTAGGAGACTTTTGGAACTTATACACAACTTAATGCATTGCGTTTGACAGTCATACTTTGGAGCTAACGTGCTTCACCCGCGGACAACAATACCTGTAATGAAGCACAATATTCCTGTGACGATTCGCAACGTTTTTAATGTTGCTGCTCCAGGGACTGAAATTCGAGGGGTTTCAGAATCGAAACCTCTTGAATCTATCGCTACAATGGACTTCGTCAAGGGATTTACAACTGTGGACAATATTGCTCTGGTGAACGTGGAGGGGTACATGACTAATCTGTTGTCCTTTATGAGTTATGAGTGTGAGGGATTATACTATCTTTTACACAAAGATAGCCAGGATTCCTGAAGACTAGTTATTTGTGCTGTACTCCGAGACCTTTTGAGCATCATTGTCTAAACGTGTCCCAAAGAATACTCTTAAAATTTGTAGCTCGTGGCTGGTCGCGTGATTCTGCTGACTTGAGTCAGTTATTTTCTGCACTTGCTATCGTATTGGTCTTACTCTGGTATCAAAATGTGCTTGGCAATGCTGCAGAACAGGCATGGCGGGAGTTCCAGGAACAGCAAGTGACATTTTTGACACTGTGAAAGGTGTGGGGGCGAATGTGGTCATGATCTCGCAGGTCAAATCATTCTCTTGTCTGTATATCTTTTCTTGAGTGAAGAGCTTGCGCTGAAGAAATTTGTCATTTAAGTCTTCATGTGAAGAAAGTTTCTATTAGCATATAGATTTAAGTGTAGATGTTGAAGTCGAACTGACAACATATGGTCATACAGGCTAGTAGTGAACACTCGGTGTGCTTTGCGGTCCCTGAAAAAGAAGTGGATACTGTTCGTCTAGCATTGTTGACGAGGTTCCGCAGAGACCTTGACGCCGGACGCATATCAAAGGTAACGAATGTCCTTCAACATGACCGAATGTGTTTGCGGACACGGACATCTTGTTGCAGTATTTATTCGCAACAGATCAAGGTAGAAGTTAAGGTTGATAAATATTAATGGGGGCTTTTGCTACGCAGGTGGAGGTGGTAAAAAACTGTTGTATACTCGCGGCAGTCGGGCAGCGAATGGCTAGCACTCCTGGAGTTAGTGCAACTCTTTTTACTGCACTTGCTAAAGTACGTATACTCAAATCCAAATGAGATATCGGATATTTTTCTATTATTGATCAAGTTAATTATTTGGTGTTCTTAAGGAACACTTTGGACTGGCTGTGGGGCTTGTACGTAAAACGTTGACGTCAGGTTTCTCATCACAATTTGAAGCTTTTTTATATTGGTGGATTCTACTTATGCGTGTTTGCCTTGAATTGGCTCAACTGTTAAGTCTTGCACTACATCAGCTCATCTTGATTGAGTTTTTGTGCGTACACGCTTCAGGCAAACATCAATGTAAGGGCAATCGCTCAAGGATGCTCCGAGTACAACATTACAGTGGTAGTGGATCAGAACGATTCTATCAGGGCTCTCAAGGCTGTCCATTCAAGATTTTATCTTTCAAGGACTCCTTTAGCTGTTGGGCTTGTTGGCCCTGGTCTCATCGGAAAGACCCTTCTTGACCAATTCAAGGATCAGGTTAGTGTTTTATAAATATGGTTGCTTCGACCCTCTCAAGATCTAATGTGTTTAGTTACAATTGGTTGTAGTTCCTCAGCTTGGTTCATCAGATGGGCAAATTGTGAACGTGATATCGGAGTATCCAAATCATAGTCGTTGAGGTGGTTGATTTGTTGATACCAGGCTGCGTCTTTGAAGGAGGAATTTCACATTGACCTGCGTGTGATGGGTATCACAGACTCAAATACCATGTACTTAGATGACACGTAAGGATACATTGGATCCTCTATTAATGCTCATTATGAGAAGTTGTTTGTTATTTTTATAGTACCACATCAACTGAAGACCTTTTGTTGAACACTCATTAGTGATGCTAGATTGTTGAACTTTGTAAGTGAAAAACATTTTTTTCGTATGTTCCGCTGCATGTGTCAGAACTTAAATCCGCCTAAAGTGTGTTTGCTAGTAAACATATAATAATCAATCAGGCACTGCTCTGTTTTGCAGTGGTATCGATTTGGCAAACTGGAGGGAGTTGATTGAAACCAAGGGAGTTCCAGCGGACATGTCCAAATTCACAGCACATCTGCAAAGTCACTCCTTGCCGAATACTGTCATCATAGACTGCACTGCTAGTGCGAAAGTTGCTGAAAACTATTATCAATGGATGGAGAAAGGCATGCACATTATAACCCCAAATAAAAAAGCCAATTCGGGTCCATATGATCAGGTGCGGATTCATTGCCGTGGTTCAGTTGATGACTTAGTTCTTCCAGTGCTTACCGCACCAACCTGAATATATGAATATTGTGTTGCAGTATGCTAAATTGAAGGAGCTCCAACGCCAATCATACACACATTATTTCTACGAAGCTACTGTTGGAGCGGGGCTCCCAATTGTCAGCACTCTACGTGGACTCGTGGAAACTGGCGACAAGATTGTGAAAGTGGAGGGCATTTTCAGGTTAGTAAGATTTTGCTAGACTTTTAGTTTAATTAGTTGTATTCCGTTGCAATTCTCTTAATGTCTCTTGTTGTATATCCATCAGTCTCATATGATGAGCTTGGTTATTGGCATAAAGCTTGTTTCTGTTCACTTTTAAGACGATTCTTTACAATTTCAAATGATATGGAAATTTTTCTGAAAGTTAGATGTCTTGGTGCAGCGGAACATTGAGCTACATATTCAATAGCTTCAACGGAACGAAAACGTTTAGTGAAATCGTGAAAGAGGCAAAAGCTTCGGGTTACACGGAACCTGATCCTAGGGATGATCTCTCTGGCATGGACGTTGCCCGCAAGGTATGGAACTGAGGAGCACGTTTCATTAGATAAATTCAATTTGAAAACCAGCTAATGCAAATGAAGTGCCCTGATGTGTCTCAGCAAAAGTTCAACTTTCTAATTATATTTAAAGAAAGTCACAGCATGTTTGTGTGATTGTCTCAGGTCATTATCCTGGCGCGGGAGTGTGGCTTGCAGTTGGAATTGGGTGATATTGAAATAGACAAGCTGCTTCCAGAATCCCTTTCGGTAAGTTTTCCACTCGTTTGTGAACATCATCTCGTTTGATGAGACTTAATGTGATTTAAAACATGACCAATTATGTTCTTAAATGTCAATTGTTTATCAGGCAATAGATTCTGTTGAAGAGTTCTTGGAGAAACTTCCAAGCTTTGACGCAGATATCGAAGCTCGGAGGAAAGAGGCCGATGCGGCAGGGGAGGTACGTGCTGTTCTTTCTCTCCAATACCTCATCAGTATTCTCCGAATATATCATTCCATATTTACCTGGTGCATAGACTGATGGTATTTATTCCTCTATACAGGTCTTGCGATTTATAGGCATAGTGGACGTAACAGCCAACAAGGGAGCAGTAAAGTTGGTTAGGCGCTCAAAGTCTGATCCATTTGCTCAACTCTCTGGAACTGATAACATTATTGCCTTTACATCGGCGAGATATTCCAAGCTTCAACGCCTCATTGTGCGAGGTCCAGGAGCTGGTGCTGAAGTCACTGCGGCTGGCGTGTTCAGCGATTTGTTGCGCCTCGCTTCTTACTTGGGCGCCCCTTCATAGATTGTAAATTGAAAGAGCCTCAATGGCCTTTTCGGGACTTGTCATCAAAGTGCAGTTAATCAGTGCGTTTTTCAGGATGCAGAAGTGATACAGTAGGTCATTTTTGGCACTTCTGGTTAGTTGACTACCTACACATAGCACTTCGCAGGATTGTGCCACTTGCGTTCATGCACCGAGTTTGAAATATTTAAAAGAGGGAGGTCCTTCACCTACGTGTTTTCTATATCTGTCATCGTCAATGAGTGTGACCTTCATTTGAGATTCAAAGTGTGAACTTGACACAATCCTAGCTCTACATATTGAAGAGATTTACCTGACAAAGCTGCAAGTAGCTTGATGAGTGAGTTTGATGTGTGAATGCTTACAAAGTTGCGGGTATTGGAGATAAAACAGCTTCCTATGATACTAGTACTAGTGTTGCCTTGTTTAACCACTGCAGGAGCGTGATATCTCATTTGAATTATTGGTAGGGCCACTCTACACTATGGCTGTTTGGTTGAGTGGACCTTGGACAACTCCACTTGAAATTGGGCAAAAATCCAAGGTATAAGAAGTTCATTAAAATATAAGAAATGTAATTTTTGGCTTGTTTGCTCAATTGATAATTATTTGGCTCAATTTGTTTGATCTAATTTTTTGTCAAGCAAACTATGCTTTGGTGCCAACATTGCCATAAAGTTTTGTTATGTAGATACTTTTGATCCAATTCCTGTCATGGCAAGAATTTGCCTCAAGTAATCACAAAGTCTCTTTGCACAATCAAATTAGGCACAAGAATAAAATTGCTTGTAATAAATTGGATACAAATAAGAATCCAATAGAATCTAAAAGTCTTACAAATTTTGCCATAGGATTGCATCTTGTTAAGTCATAGTTATTGCAAGCTCACTAATTAGGTGTAATCCACACTAAACATGACTTATCTACTTTGATTTTGTTAAAATAATTCACCTTTGTTAATTAACATATAATTGCATCTAAGTTCAACATTAAGTCTTTAGAATTCAAAACATTAGCTTTATTCATTACAAATCCTTCAAATCCTTCCTTGCTTCCAATAATTTCTATTAGCCAAGAACATTAGAATTTCAATTATACCACCCAAATTTCATAAACATCATCTCTTATGCAATATGATATAAAATCCTAAATTTGCTATCACAAGTAACCAATCATAAGATTTTTAGACCAAAATAAAATATGCCAAGGCACCATGAAATATTAACTATGACTTAACAAGATACAATCCTACGGCAAAATTTGTAAATATAAATATAAAAAGGTGATTCCAAATATAAAAAGGTGATTCCTTCTTCTATAATAGAACAAAAATCATAAAGTTACAGCCATAAACAAATAACAAATTGTATTCCTACTTATATGACTAATATTGAGATTTCTCCAATAATGATCAACTTCCAATAAATGCTTTCAAATTTCTAATAACTCTTTGAAATCATCAGCTCTAATCTTACAAAGTATCAAGCTCAATCCACAACAATCAACTAAACACCATATTCTATCCATTTGTAATATTTGGTTTATAGATTTAGTAATAAATGCATTTATAGTAGTCTAATAATTGAGCTCTTGTAATTGCTCCTTTGAAGTTACAATTCCATATTTTTAAGATATTTCAAAACTTCATCCTTGATTTTTCAAATTTATTGAAATGATCAAAATATTCAATGTTGATCAAGAATAAACCAATTTAATCCTAGTAGTGTAATTTACTTATATTGAACACCCATATAGATTCTTTTAAGTATATTTCTCCTTTGCTCTTCAAATGCTCTAACTACTCCAACATCCATTACATATATTCATGTTGAGATCCTATCAATTTACATGTCTTTAATACAATTCTTCAACTTTTATTATGATTTCTAATTTCTCTTATTTATTATTAAATCCACTGCAACTAGTTGACATTAAAGAAGCAAGAGGATTCTTTCTAAAAAATTCATTTATTTACATCAAACTAATAGCTTCATTTTTTACATTTTTGATTTATAGAACAAACTACATTCTTTATTCTTAGAATAAATGAAGCAAAAATTCCAATATTAACTTCTTTTTTAAAAAAATTGCCATTAAAATTTTACCCTTAGGACTTTATCAATTAAATTCTTAGTCACCTTATATGTTGCTCCTTGATAGCTCCTTCAAATTCAATATCTACTTCAGAGCCTCTTCTTTGCTTTTCTATTCAAATTTTTTTCTATTTTTTTATTCAATATTTATATTTTTTTATATTTCTATCTAAATCTTCTTCTTTCTTTTCCAATTCTTGTCATCAACACATTGATATTAATAAATTTAAGAAGAATTAAATAGAAATAAGTAGAAATAAATAAATTTGATAGTATCTTATAAACAAGCTTCTTAGAAGCTTTATGGTCTCAAATTTGACTTTCCAAGTATTTGTAGGTGATTTGTAAGTTGAACCAAAACAACAATTCTAAAAACAATTAGAAAAAATAGTGTAGATTTCTTTGATAATACCATTACAACAAATTTTAAGAAAAGATTGAAGGAAATTGGTAATTTTAATTTTAATTTTTTTTTTATCAAAATAAGATAATTTTTTTAAAGAAAATTTAAAAGAAATAAAAGAAGATAAAGAATATAACAAAACAAAAGATGGAATTGAATAAAAAAATAATATATAATAAGAGAAAGAAGAAAAGATGGATTGTTGAAAGATAAGAGTTGGCAAAGTATTGAAGTATGGCAATAAGGATGAGATTTTTGTCATTGAAAGAAGGATGTTTTTTAATGTGTGGTGTTTTATAAGTTGAGAGTGGTTACAATAAAAAAAAAACAAGCAAAAAAACAAACAAACAAACAATGATGATGTCTAATAGTATATCATAGGAATAATGTCATAGATATATACATATAAACCAATAATTACCTATATGATTTAGATAAAAGTAGATAAAAATAGATTAATTCCATAATATCTTCTATAAAAGCTTTCTAGAAGCTTCATAGATATTGCTTTGACTTTATAGGTATCTTTAATTGACTTTTTAGGTTAGAAACGTGGTCAACAAGTTTGCCATGTGCCACACATGTTGGTAGCTTGAAGAACAAGCTAACTATGTAGTCCACATGTAGAAACTTGCCTTGTAAGCTAAGGCATGTATTCTACAAAGTCAACACATATTAGAGGTCCTATAGAACATCGCGATGTAGCTCTTAGTTAGATAGTATATATAGAGGCAAGAATAAAGTCCTCTTCACTCTTCTCAATTCCTTTTCTGCTTCTAGTCTAGATTTAAGAGTCTCTAGTTCCCTTGTCTTTTGGCAATAGCCATTCCAATTTCTTTTTAACATACATACTATTTTATTGCTATTTTTTCACTTTTCTTTTAACATAGATTTTCAAAGTTTATGCATCTTCTTTCAATTCATGTCCTTGAAAAATAAAGAGAATCATGACTAGTTCTTTTTGGTGTAAGAACAAAATCATAGATAGAGAGCAATGAAAATTAGAACTAGTGAAAGGAACTTTGGAATTTTTAGTAGAAATAATCATTAGTCTATTTGAATTCTTTTTATGTCCTTTATTTTGAAAATATACATCTTTTGGCTTTTCATGGAAATAAATAAAATATTTTTGTGAACTTATAATATCACTGAATTTGTAGAGGATTGTAATAGTATTGCATGTATATAAAGTAAAAGTGATCCTTGCAGGGTGTTGTTTTCTTTATCTTACCTTGGAAGTTCGTACAAGCCAAAAAATATAGTAAATTATATCCATTTAAAAATAAAATAAAATAAATGATTTATTTAATTGTTTTTAGAGCTTAGAACAAATGAATGAAATATGTGATAAGTATTACAAGCCAAAGATTACAATAGGAAAAAGATGTAATTAAAATCAATCAAGAGATAAATTGGAGAGAAAAAAATGCCAAGAATTTAAATCATAATAAAATTCTAAGTGAAAAATATATTCTTATGGTACTTAAAAAAAAAAAAATCAAAAATCAAAAATCAATAATAGATATAAGAAAAAAACTAGAATTGCTATTTTAAATATAAAAAGATTAGAGATTCTTAAGTTAAGACAAGAATATAATAAAGACCTTTAAAAGAGTGAAGAAGGCATCATTTTTTCTTATATATATATATATGTATATATATATATAATCTAATTAAAGAGCTATTTAACATGTCCAACTTGCAGGACATATGTCTAATTTGCAAAGCATAAGTGCCACATGGCCAACTTATTTGACAAGTAGCTAATGTATGCAGCATGTAACCAATTTATAAAGCAAGTAGTCAACATGTGCCATACAAATTCCTTTATAAGGCCTTGATCCAACATAATGTATTATACCAAATTTATTCTATCAACAAAAATTTCCTTGAATTCAAGACTAGGATTGCCATTAAACTTTGCTATTATAAATGTAATACGAAGCTCTTTGATAGCTTTACTAAAGACTTGTGTTTTCTCTTAATGGTTGACTTCATGATCAAACAATGATATTATAAATTATTTCAAAAATCTATTATTACTATTCTTAATATTTTTAAGCACCTTTTTACAACCACATTGATATGACCTCATAAAAAAAAATATTGATAATAGATTATTTAGACATTATTATTACAAATGTAACATTAATTAATAATATGAAGATTTTATAGATACACATATTAATACCAATATTTTCTTAAACAAAAAAATCATGTAGAAATAGATAAACTTAATAATATCTTGTAAAAAAGCTTTATAGAAGCTTTCTAGACATATATTTGACTTCCTAAGTATTTGCAGGTAATTGATAGGTTGAAAACTTGACTAACAAATTGGCTACATGTTGCAAATAGTGGCCACTTGCTTTATAAGTTAGATACTTATTATACAAGTTGATTATGTAGAACACATGTTAGAAACATTTTTTTATAAGTTAGATACATTTTAAATGACCTATAGAATTTTGCTACATAGTTCTTTAGTTAGATAGCTTATCTAGAAGCAAGAATGAGGCCTTCATTACTCTTATAAATTCTTTTCTTTCTTCTAATTTAATTTTAAGAATTTTTAGTTTTTTTCTATTTGACAATAGCCATTCAAGTTTTATCTTGAATATACATACTTTTTCATTATTTTTTATTTCATCTTTTTTTGAGACACATCTCACATGTTTAATTACATTCTTCAAGTTCATCTTCTTAACAAATCGACATGATTACTTTTA